CGGGGCATTCCGGGAGCAGGGTCACATTTTGGTCACCGCTGGCCGGCCCTTGGGGAGAGCAGTACCCAGGAGCTGAGTGGGATGCTGCCTGTCCCTCCCCCAGTGGGGATCCTGAGCATCCCCCAGGTACCACTCTGGGGGCTGCCCTCACTTACTGATGGCCAAGGACCAGTGTCCATCCGTGAACCGGCACCGTCCCCAGCTCTCAGCCTCCTCTCCCCAGGCACGTTGCCCTTCCCGCAGGGACTCTCCACCACACGGGTTTCTTTTAATTTGCCTTTGTAACGAGCTGGGTGTGTGTAACGAGCCAGGCAGGGTCATTTCCAAGAGGCGGCTGGTTTGAGCCTCCCCGGCCGAGCTGTACCGGTGCCGTGGCCAAGGAGCGAGTGCAGGGCAGTTGGGGTGCAGCCCCCACGTTGACTTCCCACCGCCCACCGCTCCTGTGTGCCAGGGGCTGGTGCGTTGGCTGCAGTGGGCAGGGAGGGGGACAATGGGGATTGTTCTCCCAGCAGTGCCTCTCACTTTGATTAGTCTCCCCCGGCGTGCAGCCCCCTCCCCAGCAGCATTATCTCCTGCTTAAGATTTCGGTGGGGGTCTGCTCTCCCCCCAGCCAGCTCCTGGCTATGCACAATGTGGCCGGACCATGGTGTGATGGGGTGGAGGTTGGGGTGAGCCCTGCACTCCCTGAGCAGCTTCTTCATGAGGAGAGTGCATCACCACGCACCCAGCCCGGGCCAGTGAGGCCAGGACACTCTGCCACATCTTCCTACATGGCCTGTGCACTCCTCCACCCCCCGAAACCAGTGCTCACCAGTGGGCTGCATCCCAAGGCCCCAGCACTGACGTGCCAGGCACAGAGCAGCCCACTTCCCCATCTACAGCCTTCCCCTGCCCAGCCCAGCCCATACAGGTGAATTGAACCAACCAAGCAAACACTGATTTATCCTGGGCAGGATGGAAATCCAGCCCCTGGCACGTGGTTCGTTCGGCCATAACACCACAGCGACCGCGCTTGCTCCTCTCCACACCACCACCACCCCTCAGAGCTGCAGCAAGGACCAGTATGACCACATTTTCCCCCATGCATGGCTCTGAGGGCTCAGCATCCCCTTCCCCAGCAGAAACGGGAGCCAGCGCTGCAATCGCTCCAACTCCACCTCCCGAGTACCCTCGGCGTGGGCTTACCTGGCATCTTGCTGGGAGGAGAGGCGCTGGGCTGGTTGTGGTGGGGGGAGCCGTGGGACAGCAGCAGGTTCATGCTGTGCGGGGGCTGGCCCGAGCTGTAGGCGTCCATGGCCAGCTTCTGGCGGAAAGCCTCCTCCTTCCGCCGGTTGGCGAACCAGTTGTAGACGCGGACCTCCGTCACCAGGTTGGAGCCGAGCCCGTGAGCCTTGGAGGGAGACACCCCTCGCTGAAGACACTCGGCCCTGCGTGTGCAAGGGGACACGTTGGAAAAAGGGTGCTGCTGAGGGGACCTCTGCCAGCACTGTCAGGCAGAGGGCCTTGGGATGACGCACCAATCTGGGGGTTTAAGCCCTTCCTACAAACCCAACTGCTCTTTCCAACTACATCCATGCCATAAAAGTCAACCTCCCTCTCTCTCTGACATTGCTGTAATGCTGCAGCATCCCTATGGCATCCCCATGGCATCCCTGCAGCATCCTCATGACATCCCTATGGCATCCCTGCAGCATTCCTGTGACATTCCTGCAGCATCCTTATGGCATCCCTACAGCATCCCCCCAGCATCTCCCTGGTATCCCTACAGCATCCCCCTGACATGCCTGTGACACCCCTACAGCATCCCTGTGCAATCTTTGTGGCATTCCCATGGCATCACTACCCCAGAATGGAGCTTGCTTGGCTCAGATGGGCAAAACAAGGCAAAAAAAGGGTCCAGGCAGCTCAGTAAAGCCGTGCTGTGAGCCAATGGCCAGGACTGCAAGCTGGGAGCCTGGGACCACGTGTGGTTTTTGGAAGAAAGGCTGCAAGGAGGTGGCACAGGGCAGCCATTACCTGTTGCACTCCTCTACCAGAGCCTCGCGCTCCTCCTTGCTGGGGTTCTTTTGGCGGTCGTAGGCTTGGTACAAGATTTGCTGGGAGGCTGGCCCCCACTTGAACCGATTGCGCCGCATCTTCTTGCTGGGGGTTTCCGAGCAAGCATCATCGAGCTGGGCCGCCCCTTGGTTCTGCTGATTGAACTCTGGAAAGAGAAACAGCAGCTGATCCTGACTGCTTTTGTCTGTCATATTTCCACAACCCTGGACTGTCTGGTTGAACTCTGAAAGAGAAAGGAGCAGACGTGAGCCGGCCTGTAGCCGCTGCTCAGAGTCACTGGCCCGCGCACAGGTGGCCCCCCAGTGTCCCATCCCAAGCCTGGCACATGTCGGAGCAAGTTGGGTGCTCCCTGCTACCCACCCCAGGGAAGAGGCCAGCCTTGCACAGAGTTATTCCCATCCCACTGGGACTGGCGTTAATGGGGAGGCACGTGCAGGGCATGGAGATCCATGGATTGGGGGTCGGGAGCCAGGCAGAGCTTCAAAGCCCCAAAAAAGGGTGCCCCTCTCTGCTCGCCCAGCTCCTGTCCCAGCACAGTGGGGTGGCAGGCACCAGAGGTGACCTTCCTCGGCAGCCCGCCTCGGACCCGGTGCTTGTCACCGCAGCAGTAAAAGGAGATTAGTGGGAGAGTTTTATTATTCTCAGTTTTGCAGGGGAATTTCTCCCTCTTTTTCTAATGGCTTTTCCCCCTGTGATGTGGGGAAAACACAAGGCAAGGTGGGAGCTGGTGCTGTTTGCTCTGACGTCTCAAGGTATGTTTTCAAAGCAAAGGTATTTGGTGCTAAACCCTTTTCTGCACTTCCCGTCTGCTGGATATCGCATCCTTTAGGAGGAGGGAGGCAGAGCCCTTTAAAGTGGGGTGGCAGTGCCCCAACTTCCCCCTCAGACGAAAACAGGGCTGCTTTGAGTGATACGGGACTGGCCTGGGAGCAGGGGTCAGGGAGAGAGGTGCACAAAAGCAATAGTCATGTACTTGGTCAAAATCACCTGCATTTTCAACAGCACAGACTGACCAAGGCCATGTTACAAATAGGAACAATTTACAGCTTTTTTCCTTTCTCTCTCTCTACTTTTTTTGCAAGTAGTAGCAGAAAATGAGCAATCTCAAGAGCCAGAGAGAGGAAAAGAGGGCAACTGTGGGAAAGTCATCTAATTGTGTGTAACCATTAATTGCTTTCCCAGCTCTAACAAATATAAATATACAGAAACTCAGCCGCATGGGTGGGCATGGGGGAACTCGCACTCAGGAGTGGCTCTCACCCAGTTTTCCCACACTTCAAATTCATTTTATTTGTAAAACTGTTTTGGGGAAGATGTTGGGCAGCCTGGGTCCCTTCTGTGAGGAAAGAGGGCAGGGGACTGCTCCTCAGACAGGACTGGGATGCGGGCACCCCTTCTCCCCACAAAGGGTGAGAGCTGGTGCAGGTACTTACGCCGGAGGATCTCCCGCTGCTTGCGGACGTACCACGTGTAGAGGGCGGCTCTCTTCTGCGTCTTCATGGGGGTGCCCTTGTTGAGGTGCTGGGAGAGGTGTGACTGGTTGAGGCCAGTGACATCCACCACCTCCCGCTGCGGGATGTTGTGCTGCTGCATGTACCCCTTGATCATCTTTGCCGCCCGCCACGGATCCTCGCTGCAGGGAGGGAAACCAAGGGTTAATCTCTCCCGGTGAGGGAAAAACACCCGGTATTTACTTCTTCCCATGATGGAAACCCATTTTTATTATTATCCTGAAACCTGTTTCAGAAGGGTACAAGATCCCTTGAACATACGTCCTTCCCCAGCTGCCATCCCGGCCCCAGCAAACGGCCCCGTCCTGCCCCAGGCAGGCAGGAGCTGGTGGGATGGGGGCTCATAAGGTGCCTTGGCCATCCTGGGGGTGCCCACCAGGCTGTTCACCCAGGGAGGGAGAAATACAGAGGATCCCAGTGTCCTGACAGGGCACGTTGAGGTCTCATTAACACTGGTAAAGCACCTCCAGATCCTTCAAGGAGAATTCTATTCTATTCTATTCTATTCTATTCTATTCTATTCTATTCTATTCTATTCTATTCTATTCTATTCTATTCTATTCTATCCTGTCCTATCCTGTCCTATCCTGTCCTATCCTAATCAATCCATTAATTGCTGCCGTTATTATGTTCACTGCAATTTCCCCCTTTGAAGATATGCACACACAACGGAATATGCACATACACCTACAGATACGGGAAGCCCATACAGGGTATCTCTCTGAAAAGAAGACAAGTCTCCCATTTGGAGGTGCCGGGGATGCCTTTCCTGCCCCCACTCCCAGCTGCAATATCCATGCTGCACCCCGTGCCGCCGGACTTGGATCCCCACACGGCCACCAAACCCCACGCGCCACGCTTACTGCTCTATCTTCTCCCTTCCATTCCCACAAGGATAATTATCTAAAAATCACCATATTTATTTAAAATTACCCCATTTCTGCGCTCCCACAACAGCAAAGCACACACGCAGGCCACATGCGAAAGGCTGAGACGTGAAGGTCAAACCAGGCACGCAAACCCCGGCAAGTCCCCAAATGGAAAACCAAAACCAACTGCCCCCGACGATTTTAAATAATTCTTGAATATTTTTAAACATTTGAATTTGGTTCCTGCTGGATCCAGGTGTAAAATGACTTTTTCCTAAATCCACATTAATTGGCTGTCCTTGGGGTAGCTGACACCAATCGAGGGAATAAATAAAATTTCAGCCAAAAATCAAAATGCTGTCTGCACTCTTTAGCTCTGAGGAAAGCACAGCGCAACGGCAGAGGAACGGGCCAGGACGCCTTTGCTGTATTCAACGCCCTGGATTTATCCTGCGGTACCAGAGGACGCTGGACTAAAAGGAAGTGCTTCAATGCTGAAAAATCGGTGTGGAGCCTGAACCTGGTCACAGTCATGCACTCAAATAATGCCGCACTCTAACGCTGTGCCTGGAATAACCGTCCGACTGCGTTCCCGATTCATTACTTATTTTGGATCCTTTAACTTGTCACAGGAAAAAAAACCCAACAAACCAAACCAACAAGTAGATTTCTTACTTTTTTGTCCTGAATGCAGTGTGAAAACAAAGCTGGTTAGATCCAAAGCAAAAGCACCCAAGCAGGGCCAGCCTGCGGATGGCGGCGAGGGATTTTTCAGACCAAGGAGCCTTGCCAGAGACCATGTCCCCATGCCCAACTCAGCATCCTCCGGGCAGGGCCACCCCACCGTATCTACGGTGTCCTCCATACGGCGATGGTCGCACGGAGCCATACAGATGCACGAGCTCATGGACTCCGGTCTTCTCACCAGCCCAGAGCCCCGACCGGGTTAAGTGCAGGGCTCACACAGACTTCTGTCACCAGCGGTTCGTGTCCGTGAACTGATCCTGCTAATTACTGAGTACTAATAAGTTACTGCGACAGAGCTTGTTATAGTTTCTGATAGCAGTTGAGTTCATAACTAAGCCAAGGGCATCGTTTTCCCAGAGTTAAATTGTGAGCCAGTGCAGCAGAGCACACTTTAAAATGTCAAATGAGTGACTGGGGGCTCGCAGATGTGATTTCTGAATTAAAATAAAATTTGGCAGCGTTTTGGCTGAAAAAACATATGCAACAATTCGGGAAAAAAATCCCAAGGTTTCCCTTTTTTATTATTATTTTATGTTATTATTTTAGGAAAGGCTTCAACTCGATATTTCCAGTGCGTTTCACACTTACACTTTCACAACAATTATTTGGCTCTTAATTTCTCGGCGATGATTTTTCTTTACGAAACAACTTGACCGTATTCAAAAGGGTTAAACAACCTGAAACCAAACCCAAACATTTTGTTTCATGTTAAACAAAATGTTTGGACTTGGCCCAAAATGAAACATTTGAGTGTTTGTTTGGCCTTTTTTTTTTTCTTTTTTGGTTAACCTAAAAAGCCAGAGAGGAAAACCCTTTGATTCAACACAAGCTCATTTTTTTTCGTTCTGTCACCGAAATGAAAAAAACCCAAACCATTAATTGTCCAGTCTTCACTAGGACTTTACATGCAAAAAAAAGAAACCCAAACCCAACCCAGCCCAGGAGTGCTTTGTAATATCGGAAAACCAGTTTATAGCCCTGGCTCCGTAGTCCTTCTACACCGAAATCAAGGAAAGGTGTTTTTTTCTTGCACAAAATAAACCCCAGTGAAGCAGACCAAGAAAGAGGTGTTTCCTACCCCAGCCTCACACGCACGTTGGGGGCAAAGCCCTGTCCATCTCCCCAGGGATTCCCAGACCCACTTACCCCCTTTCTTAGCCTTAAACACAGGTAAATACCCTCCACATCCCTGCAGAAATATGCCAAGAATTTATACAGATGGATTATAACCTCGGCTCCCTACCGAAACGATCTATCTAATCTGCATCGCCCTGTGCACAGAGGGATCCAGCACCGGGAGCTGTGCCGCACCTGCTGCTCCCCACGCGTTTCGAAGCAGCTTTGGGACATCTACGCCCGGGTCCCTGAGGATGGGGGGCTTTCCCATGGTCTCCAGGACCTGGATACTCCTGGGATATTTTATTTGCTTGAGCAGGGTCTGGGTGAGACCTGGCAAGTGGAATGGGGAAAGGAGGGAGCCACAGGATGTCTCACCCCCAAACTGGGCTCTACAAGAAACCACGGTGCTGGCGTCAAGGCCACTGTGCTCATGGTGTGACACTCGCCCTGCTCCCACTCGCATCAGCCGAAACCCTTTGGGCGCCATGAATGGGCCCAAGGAAAGGCTCTGCTTGCCAAGGTGCTGTGGCCAGGGCGATCTGCACAGGACCACCATGACAGGCAACTCCAGCCCACACCCATGCCACGGGTGGGCAACCAAGCCTGTGCCGAGGTCCCAAAAAGAGCTATGGGGTTTAGCAGGGATTAGGGCTAAGGGAATAGAGCTATAAGGGAACAGCCTGAGACTGAGCCATTGCTGGGGTGAGGACACTGCCACCAGGGAAGCAGGAGCAGCAGGAGATCAGCCCCCATGCACGGCTGCAATAAATGGTTCCCGACTCCCCTACTCCGGCTCCTGCTCCAAGTACAAAGGCCTCTCTCAGAGCAAACACCAGCTCTTTGCAAAGGCTCCTCGGGGACATATGCCTGCTCTTGTTTGCACCCAAGGCAAACTTTGCACAGAAACACCTGCGGGAGCACGGCAATTCTGGGGCTGAGCCTTCTCCGCACCCCTACGGCCACCCCAGGCACCCCCGCAGACAGATGCAGCCAGCAAAAGGGGGACACCAGGGACAGGCAGGAGCGCTCAGAGGTGCAGGGCATGGTGCTACACAGGTGAGGTGGGAACCCAACCAAAAAGATCTGCAATTATTTCTCCTTCATGCAGAGCCTTTTTACCACCTTTCATGTTCCAGCTGAGCCCGTTGGCAGGTACAGGTGCCCCAAAAGGCACCAGTACAGGCCTGGACCCGAGTGCTGGGCACACTGCACCTACCATGGCAGTGTCCCCATCCCCTGCCAGGCCCCGGCACGCTGCTGCTGAGGCACCGGGGGGCAAGAGCCAGAGCTGAGCTCCGTGGGCTGGCAGAGGGTACAGGGAAGCACGGAGGGCCTGAGCTCGGCGAGCAGGATCGGTGCCGCGCTCAGGATGTGCACCGAGACAGGTATGAAAACGGCAGTGCCGGGGGGGGGGACGACGGGACACAGAGGTGTCCCTGCCGCACGCAGGGACGGTCCCGCGGGGCGCTCCCACCCGCTTACACCAGCCCCGGAGGTGCCACGATCGCCCTTGGCACCCCCGGCTCCCTCGGCTGCGGAAGAATCCCCGGCTGCCCCGGCCCTGGGGAACGGAG